CTCGCCCGAGTCTGCTCGGTATGTTGATCCTTCTTTCTCCTACCCCTTGATTGGCCGAATCTGGCGGTAATAGCAACATTATAGAGCAGGTTCGTCCAGCAACACCCAGGGCGTCAAGAGAAGTGCCCCGGATTTGGCAAAGCCGCATTTTGTCAGACAAAACAGCGAGCATGAGGTACTTGAAGATGGGCTAAAGGTGTGGGGGTACATGCCAGGTCATGTCCATTACAAGGTTCGGAGTAGTGAAGACAATGTCAGTTGCTCACCTTGATAGAGAAGCCATGCTGACTGGTAGTTCTCGCAGAGCTCGTCCAAGCACTCTCTGACACAAGTCATAGCAAGCGACGTTGTGCAGAAGGTGCTGTATGCTGTTCCTCCGAGATCCATAACTGGTATGTGCAAGTATTGCAACGTTGACGGCACTGCTGACCGAATGCAGACGCCATCGTCAATCACTTCTTGAACACGGTAAACTACCGCTATAGTGCAATATACGGGCCGTCGTTGGCAGAGCAATATGTTCAATGGTGGGCCGATCGTAGTGCCGCCAAACAGCTTTCCCCCGAATTCACATGCCTACTCTTGCGGATGTGTGCATACTCTGTACAATATCTGACACCGTCGCTTCGCAAGATGATTGAGTTCGAGTTGGCATGCACTTCACAAACGCTCACCGAACGTTTCTCGGCCGCGGCAGAGGAACTTAGCTGGGGCTTTGAAGCATCGAGGACAAGTATTGAGCGGGTAGAGGAGCAGTTCTTAAAGTGTGCCTGGCTGAAATCGGAATCGAAAATCGTCGAATCATGGCATACCCTTTCACGTACTATTCGCGAGGCGCAAGAATTGGGTATCGATAGGGATGCGGGTATTGACGACTTGTCTGAGTTTGATATAGAAATCAGAAGGCGAATCTGGACTCTTCTTTACATATGGGATTGGTGAGTAAAGAGATGTGATCGAAAAACTCGGTTACTAAAGTCCGTCAGGCAGATGTCAGCGTGGCTAGGTCGACCAAACCTCATTAACCAAAAGAATCTTTCTTTCAAATTTCCCAACCTGCGGCTCGACCAATCGACTACAGAACCAAATATTCTTTCACCTTTCACACACATGGCTCTGCAAGCACACCTGGGGCGAAGAGTGGCAGCTGTGATGGGCGACGCGACGTCCAAAGCCGATCTTGCTGCTGAGAAGGTCTTGGAGATTGAAGACGAGTGTCATAAGTTCATCGACGAACTGCCCGCGATTTTTCGTGTTACGAACCCCGATACCTCATTCGACGAGGCACATCCATACTTTGTATTCCAGCGACACCAGTTACACTGCGTCATCTTTTTGACAATGCTCGACTTCTTCAAGACATATCTTACGGGTGAGCGAGAAGATAAGCTCAGCGACCGGGACGACGAATTTCGAAAGAAGGGGATCGAGATTGCGCTCCGTCTGCTTGAAGTTGCACGCAAGCTGTTTGATCATGAGTTTCCGATTAACGCGAAATTTCATATGGTCGTTTTCTGCATTTTCGATACCGCGACCTTACTTTGCTCTGCCATTATCCATGACCGCGAAAATATGCTACCTCACCGCGATGAGGTCATGGAAGTCATTGATAGTTCGCTTGATAGGTTGTATCAACTGAGCTTGTCCACGAAATTAGGCGCAACTTCTTACAACTTTCTCTTCAAACTCGTGCAGGCAACACCCTCGCTTCGGCAGCATTTGCCAATCGACAAGCGACAGAAACAAGATGGTATCCCTGTACCTAGGGGATCATCGCCGGCTCGTGGGCCGGCACCGGTGGCTGTGACGTGTCCACCAGGGTTGCCATTACCGTATCGGCCACCGCCAATTTTGGAAGCAAACACCCAGTCGTCAGTTCCTGCAACTGGAGCCCTTACAACGATGCCCATCTCGGATGCTCTCTCATTCGATATTGATCAATTTCTGGCGCAAAATCCGTTCGGCAACCTCGGTGATCCTAATGCCGTTGATATGGGCGGTATGGAGCAGATCTGGGCTTGGCAAGATTTGCATCTCAATGCATACGCACATAACGGAGGGCATAGTACTTCGGACACGGCTGGGCAGGGTCCTCGAGGCTAACAATATCAACTGATTGGTAGAGCCTTTGCAAGATAAAGGCTTGAAGGTGGATAAAGCTCTATGCCATCACAGATGGAAAGGGGGGTGTTGTGAAGGTGTTGTGCATTCAGCAATGAGTCGTGTATTGGTGCCTTTGTAAACAAATAGACTTCTAGGTTGCGCAGACAATAAGCCTAAAGAGGAAGATTAGTAATTGTCGCAATAAAAGGTGAAAATGTGGCGAACTGTGCTGATGCAGCGGTTGACACAATCGACGCAACTTACACATACACACTTCCTTGAATGCGCTATGGATGAAAAGCACTGTTGTACTCACCTCATTCGCTCACTTGTAGCTATGAAAGTATTGGGGAAAAACAGGTAGATTAAAAGGTGACAAGTACCTCGTCTTATGTTGATGCGGTTCCGGGATTTGACCGGGACACGAATCCGTCCAATCGTTGCGCTTGCCACATCTACACCGCCCAGTCGGCCCAGTTTGCCAGGCCAATGACAGAGAGGCGGCAGCTGGACCACTCCAACCCAGCATTTGACATTGCCTTTTCTTTGCGCGTCCTATTTACGGTTGGGTTTGTTGAGAAAAACTGTGACGCATCGCGCTCTTCGACCTTGCGATAGTGCGGAATTCGTTTCAAACCGAGAACGCTGCGCTTCGTGCGTTCCTTCCTCGTTATGATGTTGGTGTAGCAGCAACCCGAGTTCGAGATGGGTGCATTTCATCGGAACCGAGAATGGACACGGAAGGCAAGACGCCAACTGTTTGCTATTTCGGACTTCCGTAGCTAGAACGTATGGCCTTCATCGTCTGTATAGTGTGTGCGTTTAGTTTAGACATGCGACTTGTTGCATTCTCCGTGAAGATCGTTGCGCGTTGCCGTCATTGTTATCGGTCTTATCTTTGTTTTCACTTTCAACATTGCTAATGTGTGGATGGCCTGGCTAGCCGCATCTAGGAAAGATGCAACCTCGTGTATTGACCAATGCATCTGTGCGCATGTTCCTTTCCATTGTTTAGAGCTTGAATGCGGTGTTGCAAAAGGTCGACGTATTCAGGTCAGGGCATTTGTTCCCTAGAGAGAGACAATCGTTTGCTGCAGGGTGGCGGTGATGTGTTCTTTGAGGGTGACGAAACCTCTTTCGGTGCTAAGATAGAAGAGAGTAAGACGGTTGGGGTTACGAGGACTGTGGGAGTTGAGCGGGGTGTGAAGGTGGCATCGCGATTGGAGGGATCCAGTTGATTGAGCTAACGGCGAGGCTTAATTTCCATATTGAAACAGCGCAGCATATAATAGTAGTTGATTGAGTGTTTTCATGTTTCAAGGCATTCGGAGGTGCCTAGGGTAAGCCAGGTTTTAATATGATTGCGACTTCCGCGGAGCCCAGATCAGGAAGCACAATCGATCCCCGAGGGGCCAGTTCTGACGTAACAACACCTTTTACAGAAGGAACGATTTGAAAATTAGGAGCACATGTGTATGGATATATATGGCTATATCGAGCTCAAGGCGATTGAGATGAATTAGCCAAAGCGAGTAGTACAGCACGTCGAGTTGAGTTGGTCTACTGTTGTACGAGCAATTGTGCGTCAACTTGTATATCTGTAAGAGCTTGGGCGCTCTTAATCCTCAGGCACATCTGGTTATTGTGGTACATCTAGTTATCGTGTGAGGCGGATGCCTGCCGAGTGTCTCTTGCAGCAGGTCTCACGTTCAATTGGTTAATTGTTTTACCTCAATTTGCTTTGCAACACAAATGAACTATACGGTGAATTCAATGAATACCTATTGTTTGATAGAGAGAGACGATTTTTACCTAAAGCCAGTTTACAATATCGACAAAGTACTGTACACATGTATACATGGATCGGGGTCACCCGGGGCGGGACGTTGCGTGATATTGCTTCTGCTTCCGATCGATACAACATCCCTAGGCTGTTGTGCTACTGCTACGTAGATCCACATGGTAATCTCGTTCCGGCTTGGCTCTAATTCTTGATTTGTCGACAGCCAGAAATGAAGGCATGTGGTGGCTGTGGGGTCAAAGGGTCTGCTTTCCTCTACCGTCATGACCAGCGGCAACGACCCCAACGGCGAAACAGTGCCCCTCGGGTTTTTTCCCTGAAAATTTATAGAGAGCACCGGACACGCGTATGTCGATCCCATCTCAAGATTGAACTTCGGCCCTGCCCGGGGAACTGGAGTCGGCCCCAGGAATGGCATGCTTTATGGAGACAGGCGATGAGGGACCACCACCCACCCCGCGCTTACCTACGGTACATGGTTAGATTGATGGCACACACCTGCCGGCACTTCCAAGTGGAGTTGGACGGTTTATTTGCCCTTTTCGCGTGTGCGAAGCCAGAGCAACGAAAACGTAACGAATACCTCTAGTCGCGTTTCGGAACGCGGCAAAATTTTCTGGAGCCGCCACAGATCAATCCCACTTACGAGAACAAATCTGTATACGATATGATACGATGCCATCTGAACTCACTCGAGAGCGTCTGATTGAGTTTTCTTCACTGCATTGGGGACATGCATGGGCGAACCATGGACCGTACTGTGTGTGTCGAGGTGTTGTCATTGCGCATGAGGTGACGAGTGGCAAGCCCAGGGGACACGAGACGGTGTGCCCGTTCTCTGTTCAACCTACGTAGGGCTCATGGGCACAGAGAACGATGCGCCCGCTAAACGGCCGACTAAACTGGCGCAGCGAAAGACAGCTGCAGGGTTGGCTGATCTTTGCACTCAAGGGTATAGAAACGTGATGGCTCGGTGTTGGACCCACCAGGCATGATGTCATCGCGCGCGCTGAGAGCCGCCTCCTTGGCGCATTTCACCGAAGACTCTCCATTCCCTGCGTCTATCGCAAAAGATTTCTGACTTGGGCCAGGCACCAGGGTCTTCGCAATGGTATATGAGGGTCTCTTCTCCACGTCTGGGATGAAGTTTGCTCGATACTTTTCCCCTTACTCCCCACGGCCTCGCTGTTGTGGAAGCTTGCCATATAAATACACAAGCATTTCCAAGCCTCACAAGCCTCCAGCATCCTATGCTTGGGTGAAACCAACGTGAAGGATCGACATACGCCATTATTCATACGCCAACGCCACCATCACCACCACCACCGAATTCCAGCGACCCCACGACTCAACCTCTTTGGTGAGGTAACGACGACCCAAAGCACGATCATCCCAGTTGCGACTGTCCCATTGCTGCCAACCCTCAATACCATTGCGCCAAACCCAAGCAACTACTCCTCCACGACCATTGATCCTCCAAGCAGCACTCTCACTACATCAACATGCCTCGAACAATGTTTGTAAATCCCTTCAAGACGCACAGTGTGGATGAATTCCCCGGCGTTCATGTGCCTCTTGAAGAATCAGTCCCCAGCGGCCCCACTCCCCACGACCGCCAGAGCAACTCCCCTGCGCCCTCTGAAAAAGACTCCAAAGACGATAAACCTGAGCGCCCCGAAAGTGATGCATCAAGTGGTGTTGTTAACCATGGAATGACTCTCGCAGCACTCAAAGCAGAAATCGAAGCAGATGTTGCCGCCTCAGGCACCGACACGCCGTATGACCGTACGTTAAGCTACTTTAAACTGCCAGCTTTCCTAGCAGTTGTGAAACGACCAACACTTACTAAACTCTCCTAGGCAAGTCCAAGGTCATCAACCGAGCCCTGGGCGATATGGGCATGGGCCGCTACCAATGGAAGCTTTTTATCTTGGCGGGATGCGGATGGATGGCAGACAACCTATGGTTGCAGGTACGTACATGATGTACTTTTGCAGTTGCCGTGGCTTACCATTGTGAAGGGTGTTGCACTCACACTACCACAATTATCGGTTGAGTTTGGTATCAGTGAGAGCGAAGTCCGATATACCACCCTAGCGCTCTTCCTCGGCCTCTGCATCGGTGCATCATTCTGGGGTACCGCGTCAGACATTATTGGCCGCCGTGTTGCGTTCAACTTTACTCTATTCCTTGCCGGTGCCTTTGGTCTGGCCTCGGGTGGTGGTCCCAATTGGATTGGCACATGTGCTCTCTACGCCTGTATCGGACTTGGTGTTGGTGGCAATCTTCCTGTTGACGGAGCACTCTTCCTGGAATTCCTCCCACAAACATCTGGAAATCTATTGACACTGCTTTCCGTCTTCTGGCCTATTGGTAACCTGATTGCCTCGCTGCGTAAGTCGAGCAGACCCCTAGTCGGTGTACAGCGCTAATCCGTTCTAGTTGCATGGGCGTTCATTCCCAACTTTTCCTGCCCTGCCGGCACTCCTACCGGACAGTGCAAAATGTCAGACAACATGGGGTGGAGATATCTCATCCTGACGCTTGGAGCCATCACCTTCGTCATGTTCATCTCGCGTTTCTTCTTCTTCCATCTCTACGAGTCACCCAAGTTCCTGCTGTCACGTGGCCGCCAGGCTGAAGCTGTAGCAACCGTCTACGGAATCGCGCATTGTAATAAGACGCACACTTGGCTTACCGAGGACATTCTCAACTACATTGGGGGCGATCAGGAAGTGACTGGCGAGGACGCCAAGCTTAGCAGCCTGGAAATCATCAAGCGCTCCATCAGCCGCTTTTCTTTTGACCGCTTCAAAATCCTCTTCCAGGACAAGAAGCTTGGACTGACAACTGTGCTCTTGTGGTTCCAATGGACTACTATCGGCATGGCATACCCGCTGTTCAACGCCTTCCTGCCACAATACCTGGCCAACTCTGGAGGCGAAGTAGAAAACGACGTCAGCACCGTGTACCGTAACTATGCTATCACTGCCATTGTCGGTGTTCCTGGATCGTTCTTGGCATGCTATGCTGTTGAGCTGAAGTTCCTGGGCCGCAAGGGAACGATGGCCATTGCGACTGTCATCACTGGTGTCTTTGTCTTTCTGTTCACAATCTCGAGCGACTCGGACTTTCAGCTCGCCTTTACTTGCTTGGAAGCCTTTTTCCAGAACATAATGTACGGTGTGCTGTACGCATACACTCCCGAGGTTTTCCCTGGCCCAATCCGCGGTACTGGTACTGGTATCAGCAGTTTCTTGAACCGAGTTGCTGGATTATGCGCTCCTATTGTCGCCATTTTCGCTAGTAGTGGCAACCCCAAGGCGCCCATCTACGCAAGTGGTGGTTTGTTCATCGCGGCGTTCTTTAGCATGCTGATCTTGCCCATTGAGACAAGAGGAAAGCAGACGCTATAGAGATTTGAGTTTGTAGCGGGCGGGGTTTTTCTCGCACCAAAGGCACGATAGAGTGCTTTATTCTCGTTAATTGAATGATACCATCTTCAGTCATATTCTTTCTCCCCGCACATGCGTGTATGTGTATGTACACTAACCTGCAAAAGCAAGTGTTGCGAGAGACATGTGAATGTAGTGCATAGCAGTCGTTGGCCAGATCAGGGCTGTCGTGTGGTCAAAGCCATACCGAGGCAGTCGGTATCGGAAGTCTTGAGTCTGCGATGACTTTGTCCGACTAGCCGAGGGATCACCCTGAGCTTGACAAGACGCCACTGCGTGTCCATCACCGCATCCACGCACACGAATTCGGCCTAGATTGCGGTACCAAAGGCCCATCAACGTGCAACACCCAATCACACACAAAGCCAGCGGAAGCGAGAAGCCGCACCGGAGCTCGCCAACATGCGGGCGTAGGCTGTTTGCAGTAAAGTGCGCGCACCATCCAAATCGCAGACTGAACCACAACTTGTTGACTAGACATTTTGCCTTGGCGCAAAAAAAGAGAAGATGACGTCTTTGATTCGCTTGCGGTCTCCAATGCGATGTATTCGAATGCACGGCATAAAGAAAAGAAAAACTACCCGACCCAATCACATTGAGCTAGAGCTGGCTGTGCCTCGTGGGTGTGGCGCAGGCATCTCACCTTGTGCATGTGGGGGTGAGGATCATAGTTACTGTAACAATACAGTAGGATAACTATGATAATTACAATCCCTCATAAATTGGGTTGCTTGAACCAGACTTCCGAAACTATGTCTAATGTTGTTTTGCCTGTGTTTGGATTGCCAGGATGAGGACCAAAGCCGTCAGTCATACATTAAGACTGCGGCACTCAGTTATTCTGGTGGCGACAAGGCAGAAGTTTGTTCGGGCGCCGAGGAGTGAGGTCGCTTTTGCAAGATGGGAACATTAGCGAAGCCCCAGTCCGAACCCGACATGCATACCTGCCTGAACCAGTTAGACTGTTACCGTGTAATTATGCTTCCCAACGTCACAGCCACAATACAGGGGTGACGGCATTACAGCAATTTTGAGCTCGGTCACCCCATCTGCTCAGTTTTAGTCTGGGGCCATGAACAAAGGCTATATACCAAGCTGTGGAGACGGGGTCCCCTTTGTACACATGTCAATGCCGGCTGGTCTCACCGCCCGACGACACTACATATACCTGGCCTTGTAATCCACCTTTCCCAGTACCTGCTCACCCGTCCGTGTCACCACCACATCGCATTTGCTGCCCGCCATGATCGACTCGTACTTTGATGTGTTGATTATTGGAGGAGGAATCAGCGGTATCAACGCCGCCTACCGCATACAAGAGTCGTTGCCAGACGTCAAATTCACCATCCTCGAGGCGCGCCACGAACTCGGCGGAACATGGTCGCAGTTCAAGTATCCCGGTGTGCGCTCCGACTCGGACCTGTACACGCTAGGCTTCCAATTCAACCCCTGGCGCAACAAGGAGCCCATTGCAAGAGGAGAGAACATCATGGGCTATCTGAAGGAGACGGTGCAAAAATTCGACATTGATAAGAAGATCCGGTACAAGCACAAAGTCTTGGCGGCAGACTGGAGGACCGATGAGCAGCGCTGGCGAGTCGAGGTGGAAGTCGGCAATGATGTCGGACGAGAGCCCCGGAGAGTCACTTACTGGACCTCATGGTTGATCATGGGCACCGGATACTACAACTATGACGAGCCTCAGAAGGCAGACATACCAGGCATCGACAATTTCCAGGGACAGAGAATACACCCACAGTTCTGGCCAGAGAATCTCGACTACAAGGACAAAAAGATTGTTATTATTGGATCCGGCGCAACGACCATTACCCTTTTACCTGCATTAGTTGACGGCGGGGCAGCAAGCGTCACACAGCTGCAACGGAGCCCTAGCTACATTATGAGTATAGGTCAAAAGAGGAAATCGTGGGTTGAGAAGTATGCTCCCGAGTGGTTTACCCTCCGCTACAACCGTATGTCGCCAAATCTTCCCCTCCGCCCCATGATCTAACTGCTGACCTACCCAGGCTTCATGTTCACCCTCGTCCCCATCCTTATCTACAAATTCTGCATATGGTTCCCATCCACAGCCAGAAATCTCATCATCAAACAAGCAGCCTCCCAGCTCCCACCAGACTTCCCGATCGACCCACACTTCAAGCCAAGCTACGGCCCCTGGCAACAGCGCATGTGTCTTTGTCCCGATGGCGATTACTTCAAAGCCTTCCGCTCCGGAAAAGCACACATAGTGACCGACACCATCAAGACCGTCACCACCGCCGGCATCGAGCTCAACAGCGGCACCAAACTCGACGCAGACATCATCATCACCGCCACAGGCCTCAACCTCAACTTCCTCGGCGGCATGCAAACAACCGTCGAGGGCGAACACGTCGATCTCGGCGCCCAATACATGTGGCGCGCAAGCATGTTCACCTCCCTCCCCAACTTCGGCAACATCATCGGCTACTGGAACGCCTCGTGGACCCTCGGCTCCGATGCCGCGTCTCGCCTTTATGTTCGCCTCATCAAGTACCAGCGCGATAACGGATACACCAGTGTGGTGCCCGTCATCACCGATGTCGAGAAAGAGAAGTCAGTGTCGGCCTCGCCGCTTAATAGCACGTATATCCAGACCAACGCGAGAAAGATGCCCCAGTGTGCGAATACGGGGCCCTGGAAACCAAGGGATAACTATTACGTGGATAATTGGGATGCAAGGATGGGCAGTTTGACTGAGGGGCTCAAGTGGAACAAGGTTGCTGTGCAGTAGATACAGGGAGAGCCCGTAAATGAAAACAACTTCTTTCTTGACAGACAATAATCAATTGCAGTAAATCTAATCTGCCTCTTTCCAATACCAATTGAACCTGAATCAAGTAACCAAAAGAAAACTGGTATCCCAACTGCGCCAACAACCTTTACACCTTGTTCGTTGGGCATTAGGTTACCGTGCACATAACAACACGTGCATACACAGCTTGGGGTGATAGCCAAAAAAAAGTTACAAAAATTCAAAGAGGCAAAAATGATGAGGAAAGCCGACGAGATGGCAAAAAGAGATGGACTCGCGGGGAATCGAACCCCGGACCACTCCCATGCTAAGGGAGTATTATACCACTAAACCACAAGCCCGATCAGTGCTTTGATGAAAGAAGCAAAAATTTATAACAAAATAAACTTTTTGTTATCTTGCGTTATGGCGATGTAATGTCCGGGTCCACGTGGGGTGTTGACACCATGCCAACATGTCTTAGTGCTAGTGTGCAATTAGCATAAAGCTAAAATCCCAACGCCGAGTCGATCAACAAGAGGCGATAATGGGCGATAAGTAGACCCGCAGAACGCATCATGCAAAACGCCAGATATTAGTAAGAGATGTGGACCGTACGAACGGTACATATAGATGGAGAGGTGTATGCTATACTACGAGAAGCAGATTGATATACATATATGTATAGTGTTCTATATATTTGTGCAAGATGCACCGTATTCTTCTATTTACGAAACTGTTGCGTATACTCTGTTATGCATCTTCGGTCCAGCGAGAAACACAACGGGGTATGAGGAGATGAAACTTCTGGAGCTTTGCTTGTCGGGGCTTGAATGAAATGGGCTGCGTTATCCCTGAGTTGTGCGAGTTTTGAGACTGATGATTGTGGTGGGGAATGTGTGTCTTGGAAAGCGTTGTGCATGTAGATATCGATAGCCGTCCTCAAAGAACTGAAGGCTTGAACGCTGTTGTTTCGAACCAGTATACGACGCGATCGTTCATAATCAAGCCTCATCCTCTACAACCTCTTCAGGTACTTTCTTAGGCACTTCTGTGGGTCTCCAGCGCCCATTCTTTCGCGATTTCTCGCTTTTCAATAGCTCTCTAAGCTCTTTGTAGTTCACAGGCTTGGTGATGTAGTGATCGATGCCTGAGCTCCATGCTTCCAGCCTGGCGCTCGAAGATGCGAGGCCAGTTAATGCGATAATATAGCTGCGTGGTAAATTGTGGGTTTGCTCGTGTTCACGAATCGCCCGAGTAGCCGCCATACCGTCCATAACCGGCATTGACATGTCTGCCATATCGTAAGTATCTATGCAGATTAGATTCGGAGTAGGGCAAACTAATTACCCATGATTATCATCTCGAACTTGTGTGGGTCCGCCTGGTATTTGCGAAGCGCCTCAAGACCGTCTGACGCCTCTTGGTGTTGTAAACTAATCTTGTTCATGAATGCCACAAGTAACTGATATCATCAGAACTATACCAATGTACAGAGAATGATACTTACTCTTCGGTTCAACATGTTGTCATCGACGATGAGTACATAGGATGCGGCCAAGTCTTCTTCCTGATGTGGGATATGTACCGGTTGTGCGGTAGGCGTTGTAGTTGGAGATTTAGCAGCGTTGCTTCCGGGTCTAGCCTGCAATGATCTATCATTCAGTTGAGCAGGGCTGAGTGGCCGAATGGAAATGCCCAGTTCTTGAACTCCATGTGTTGCAGTTTGGGGAAGCTGGCTGACCGCCCTCGAAAGCTGTACATTGTCACGAGGTTGGTCGTATCGATCCAGGCATCGATTAAGAACAAAAGCCAATTTGTGCGGCCCGCATCTGATCAGGTTAGTCAAAATCTTCTGAAACAAGCATAATAATAGTTACTCACGGTTGAGTTATGATCTCAACTACAGACTGCTTGGAAGTCACACGGACATCTGAGCGAAGAGTAGCTGCTTCAAGTGCGTCCATTCCAATAAAGATAATGACAGGAGCTCGCTGATCGCGGGTTCTACGGCGACGAATAGTGTTGAGATAACCGAAGGAAACTTCTGGGCAAATGACAATATCTGCACCGTTGTATTCCGAGTCAGTAGACTTTACGACGTCCATCTTCAAGTGCTTTTCGAGAGTATTGGCGAGCGCATTGGTGAAGCGCACAAGTCCTTCTTCAGCTTGCGAGTAATCAGCATCATCTGGAGACCTTGTCATTTCCTTGGAAAGTATGCAGATTCTATGGCCATGCAATCTAGAAAGGGTGGATTGAAACCGTCTGTGCTCGG